TGAAACCGGCCAATGATGGTGTCGGCATATTGCAGTAAAACAGGTGAAAATACATTTAAATCCACTTCCCAATACCAAAGACGAGAAGAGAATCTTGCAGACAGGAGGGCTCCGCCACGCGCACGTTGGCTGTTCTAGCTTTGTAGACGTGGGCAGGCAGCGCTGGTGTGGGAACGCTTTTCCAAGGTGGGAGTTCCTTTGACAAGCGTGCAGGGCCTTCGCCTGTGTTTTGCATTTTATTGACAAACTGGAGCGCGGAGTCGGCAAGTAGGGAGTGGCGTGGTGGGAGTCGCCCCTTCCACTCAGTGCAGAGCCGGGCCATCCATCACCTCATGACAAGTCTGCCTCTCGCTTCTCCGCTTACTGATGGTCGCTGTAATTATCATGTTAATGGCTTCATTAGGTCCTAGCACACTTATCCATTGTGATTCCCTTAGTCATCCCTTCCTTGTTCTTTATTTCCCTCACATTGTGATGGTTACTGTAACACCGACCTACTTCGCATTTTCTGCACGGAGTTTCCCTCTGTTGGCATCAGCTCTTCGGGAGGGGAGGGGTCCCTACGGTGTCATCACCACGTCAGGTGTTGCTGACTGACTTCCCAAGAGGTGAGAATCCACCCACAGCTCCTCCAGATGCGGTGATGTCTACCAACTTTTAGCATACAGCTTGGCAATCAATATTAAACATTGGATTGTGCGTCTACCAGTTTGCTGGACTGGAAGTGCATTTAATTTAAATAACGAAGTTGAACACGTATCCACCTTTGTCTATTTCTTAGAACTGTTTTCCTCATCAAACATCAGCTCTTAAACTCATGTTTTTGGATGCTATGCTTGTCTGCCAGTCTGTAGCACCCACTCTTGTTTTGGGCGGGTTATTAAGGACAGCCTGCGGACCTGTGGAGGGCTGGGCCGGCGGCGCGTTCCTCTGAGCGCGATGCATGGATGGGGCTCTGCAGGTCCCGGAATCAGAGGAAGGGTGTGACTGGCTGCGTGGCGCATCTCTCCCCGGCCTCTTAGAGAGGCTGAGAAGTCCGGGAGCTCAGGGCAGACGAGGGAGGAGCTGGCGGGCTCTGACCGCGAGGGCAGTGCAGTGTAGGAAAAGCAGGCTGGGGACGCCCGCCCCACTTTCTCTCTCGTTCCTGAGTGACGATGGCCGCCGGGAAGTGCAGCAGCCGCCTCTCAAGCGTGGTGAGAAAACCAGAATGACAGGCGTGGTCCTGAGGTCCAGCTTGGGAAACAGGGACGCTGCCCCCCCCCCCCGATTCCTTACACACACGTGCAAAGGGAACCTTACTTATGGAGTCACTCTAGTGAGTACTTTTGACATTAAAATTCCCAGTTAAGGTCCGAACTGGGGGCGAGGGGAGGGCATCTCCATGTCACTGACCCCCACCTTCAAACTAAGCCCAAACCACCCTTGTTGCTGGGCTCACTGCTGTGTGTGCACCAGGTGACCGGACAGTGGGCAGAATCTCTACGCCCTGGCCACCTGTTTCCCAGATCACGCCCAGAGGTTAGGGTGACTCTCCTGCAGGCAAATATGAAATCAAATTAAAAAAAAAAGCTCGTGCTCTATGGCCACGAGGGGCATAATTGAAAGGCGCTAAGGATCTGGCTGCGCAGAGCCGGCACACAGGTGTCTCTGTGCCCGCCCGGCGCTGTCCTTTCTCCAGGCCCCGTGTGAGGCCGGGCCCTGCCACAGCCGTGCGACCTGCACATGAGCAGGTGCTGCCTAGGCCTTGCCTGTGAGTGTTCACCTCCAGACCCGCAGCTGGGGATGAAGGGAGACAAACACACGTTTTCCATGCTGGGTGAGAGCGAGAAGGATGGAGTGGCAAAGAGAGACCAGTGGTGCAGGGCAGAATGGAGCGAGGGCTTTGCCCAGACCCCCGCAGCCAAGGCAGCGTTGCAAGGCATCGTCGAGGTCCCTGGGCCGGTCCTGTGGCGGCCGGGAACACACTCTCCTTTGCAGAGTGCAGCAGCTTGGGCAGCAGGAGGGCTTGTGCCGCTAGGGTTGTGTCCCCGAGAACTCCCCTTCTCTGGCTCTGCAGAGCACCTGCGGGGGGGGGGGGGGGGGTCACCGACATGGAAGAGGAGGAGGCTATGACATCACTTCCTGTCTCCCAACCAAGCCCCCTTCCTCCATGGAGGACAAGCAGCCAGGAGCAGGGCAGGGGGAAGCAGACCTTCGAGCCGGCTCCTGGAAGGAGGCTTTGGGCTCCGGGGACCGCGGGCAGCAGCTGAGTGCTGAGCCGCTGTCCTCGCTCCTCCTGCTGGTGCCAGCGCAGGATCAGACGCCCCTCCAGCCACGTCTCCCTGCTTTAGAAAAACGAATGCGGCAAATCAGCTCCAAAATGGGAATAAACTGGAGACTTTCCACTTTGCTGTGTGCCTCAGGGGGTTTTGGGGGTAATTTTGCTTTTCCTCGGAGGCTGTGGACAACATATTCGCACACTCACTTTCCTGCCCTCTGTCTTCTTTTTTTAAAATTGCTTTTTAAAGTTTTTATTTAATGAATGCATTTTTTCATAGATACAACTTTAGGAACATAGTGGTTCTTTCCCCCACCCCACCCTCCCAGCCCACCCCCCAGCCCACCTCCTTCTCCCTCCCCCTCTCCCATCTCCTTCTTCATTATGGTTCATTTTTAGTTTGATTTTATATACAGAGGACCAACTCCATGCTAAGCATAGACTTCAACAGTTTGCCCCTACACACACACACAACATATAAAGTACAGTTTGGGAACAAGATTTGCAGTTGATTCTCATAGTACAGCTCATTAGGGACGGAGGTCCTACCTGGGGAGCAAGTGCACAGTGACTCCCGTTGTTCCTTTAACAATTGACTCTTACTTATGACATCAGCGATCACCGGAGGCTCTTGCCATGGCTGCCAAGGCTATGGAAACCTTTTGTGCCTGTAGACTCCGTCGGTATTTGGACATGGCCGTAAGCAAAGTGGGTGTTCTCTCCTCCCTTCCCTGCCCTCTGTCTTCGAGCACCACTATTTGGATGTGAGAACCTATTTTTTTAAAAATGGAAATGCAGTTATCTTTATTTGGGTGAAGTGTCTTATAAGCTGGAAGACATTGGTGCCACACTGACTTCCGTCACATGAGCCACCTTTATGAGGAGCAGAAAGATAACTTGAGCTGATAGCGGTCGGAATCACGAGAACTTGAAGCATTCCTTGTCCCCAGAGGCCTGGGTGTCGGGGAAGATCAGCTCGCTAAGCCCGGAGCACAAGGTCAGAACACAGGGGCCCTGGGGTTGAAGCCCATTTCCTCTAAGTCCGATCACCACCTGCCCCCTACCTGGCTGCTGGCAGAGGCCCTGGCCCGCGCACAGCAGCCTCTGTGGCCTGGGACGCTGAGTCAGTCACCGGAACTCAGCCGAGGAGCTGCTGCCCGGCCCCTACAGCTTCTGAGCGCCTGGATCTCCTTAGTCCGTGGTCAGGAATCACTGAGTTCAGGCTTTTACTTACTTAAAAAGTAACCTTTAAATTTTTTTTATTTTACTTATTTGAAAGGTAGACACAGACACAGACAGAGACAAAGAGACAGGAGGATCGCCCATCTGCTGGTCCCCTCCCCAAATGCCCACAACATCTGGGGCTGTGTCAAGTGGAAGCCAGGAGCTGGGAATTCCACCCGGTCCCTCACCTGGGCGGCGGGGCCCGAGTATCGGAGCCATCCCCTGTTGCCTCCCAGGGTACCCATCAGCAGAGGGCAGGGTCAGGAGCAGAGCCAGGACTGGAGTGCAGGCACGCTGCTGAGGGACGTGGGCGAGCCAGGTGGCATCTCCACTGCTGAGCCGGGCTCCGGCGCGAGCCGATGCTCTGCAAGGAGCTCAGCACAGCGTGCGACACGGGCGAAGGCTCAGCTCCCCATGTCCCCTGTCCTGATGTCCCCTGTCCCGATGTCCCCTGTCCCGATGTCCCCTGTCCCGGTGTCCCCTGTCCCGATGGCCCCTGTCCCGATGTCCCCTGTCCTGATGTCCCCTGTCCCGATGTCCTCTGTCCCGATGTCCCCTGTCCCGATGGCCCCTGTCCCGATGGCCCCTGTCCCGATGTCCTCTGTCCCGATGTCCCCTGTCCCGATGTCCCCTGTCCCAATGGCCCCTGTCCCGATGTCCCCTGTCCCGATGTCCTCTGTCCCGATGGCCCCTGTCCCGATGGCCCCTGTCCCGATGTCCCGTCGCCTGTGCGCTTCTCTCTCTGACACGCAGGAGGGCTCATGCTGATGTCAGCTGTCGCGTGTGCGCTTCTCTCTGAAGGCAGGCTACACAGATGCCTCTTCACTGTTCACTTGTTTACGCATTTGTAGAAGAAGGATTTTCCCTATCGTGCTCCATTGGTTGATATTTATTTGAAAGTCAGAGTTACACTGAGAGAGAAGGAGAGGCAGAGAGAGAGAGAGAGAGAGAGAGAGAGAGAGAGAGAATGAGGTCCTCCATCCACTGGTTCACTCCCTGATCAGCTGCAACAGCTGGAGCTGGGCTGATCCAAAGCCAGAAGCCAGGAACTTCCTCCAGGTCTCCCATGTGGGTGCAGGGGCCCAGGCCCTTGGGCCATCTTCTACTGCCTTCCCAGGCCACAGCAGAGAGCCGGATCAGAAGCGGAGCAGCTGGGACTGGAACCGGCACTATTATGGGACACTGGCACTGCAGGCGGTGACCCCCATTGGTTGATAAATTTAGGGGAAAGGAAGGCTATCTCTTAGTAAGATTATGTATAAATTTCTGCTTCAGCTTCAAAACTCTTCACACGGTAGAGGAGCGTTGCTGCTTGGGCTGCCGTGGGGAGGAGCTTCTAGCTTCCTGTCCTTTCCCACCCCGCCAGCTCTGTTTCTGTGGGGAACCCCACAGACGGCCAGTCCACAGTGCACGACAAACCCACAGGGCAGTGACTGACCGCTGCTGTCGGTCCCGGTCCCCGTGGTGGGCGTGCGTCTCTGTTCCTGTGTGTCACCGGGGCTGCTCTGTGTACCGGCAGGGTCTGCAGTTTGGAACGAGCGAGCTGGAGGAGATGGGCGCCATGTTCTGCCTGGGCCTCCTCATCCTGGAGTTCAAGTCCACAAGCTGCCACCACCAGCTCCTGGCCAGAGCCGCAGCGGTGCTGAACACTGAGGACGGGGCGCTGGACTTCCACCTGCAGCGGTAAGATGCCCACAGGCGTGGGGCACATTGGGAGCTCTACGGCCCCCGTGCAGAGCGGCCATGTGAGGTCGGTGCGGTCGTGCCCACCGCCAAGCCGTGTGGGATGTCAGTCTCGCTGTGGACGGGAGGAGGAGGCCGCCAGCTGGCCCACGTGTGCTTGGCAGGAGACTTCCTGTAGGAGCCCTTGTATGTGTGTGGTGAACTCTCCTTCCCTGCGGTGGAGAGGGTGCGGCATAGGCACACGTGCACACCCACACGCCTCCACAATGCCTGTGGTGCTGTGTGTACACAGCTGGCAGTCTGGAGCCAGCGATGGTGTGTGTAGACAGCCAGCAGTCTGGAGCCAGCAGTGGGGTATACACTTCTGGCAGTCTGGAGATAGTGGTGTTACAGGTACACAGCTAGACTGGAGGCCCTGATGGTGTGTGCACACAGCCAGTAGTCTGGAGCCAGCGATGTTGTGTGTACTCGTAGCTAGCTGTCTAGAGGCAGTGGGCTGTCTGGAGCCAGCAATGGTGTCTGGAGGCTGCAGACAGTGATGTCGTGCATACACCAGTCAGCCATCTGGAGGCAGCCATGGTGTGTGTGTACAGCCGGCTGTCTGGAGGCAGCCATGGTGTGTGCACAGCCGGCCAACTGGAGGCAGCCATGGTGTATGCACAGCCGGCCGTCTGGAGGCAGCCATGGAGTGTGTGTGCACAGCCGGCTGTCTGGAGGCAGCCATGGTGTGTGCACAGCCGGCAGTCTGGAGGCAGCCATGGTGTGTGCACAGCCGGCTGTCTGGAGGCAGCCATGGTGTGTGCACAGCCGGCCGTCTGGAGGCAGCCATGGTGTGTGCACAGCCAGCCAACTGGAGGCAGCCATGGTGTGTATGTGCACAGCCGGCCGTCTGGAGGCACTGATGGTGTGTGCACAGCCGGCCGTCTGGAGGCAGCCATGGTGTGTGCACAGCCGGCCGTCTGGAGGCACTGAGGGTGTGTGCACAGCCGGCCATCTGGAGGCAGCCATGGTGTGTGCACAGCCGGCCGTCTGGAGGCACTGAGGGTGTGTGCACAGCCGGCCGTCTGGAGGCACTGAGGGTGTGTGCACAGCCGGCCGTCTGGAGGCAGCCATGGTGTGTGCACAGCCGGTCGTCTGGAGGCACTGAGGGTGTGTGCACAGCCGGCCGTCTGGAGGCACTGAGGGTGTGTGCACAGCCGGCCGTCTGCAGGCACTGAGGGTGTGTGCACAGCCGGCCGTCTGGAGGCACTGAGGGTGTGTGCACAGCCGGCCGTCTGCAGTGATTGCTGAGGCGCGATGGCAGTCCACCCCCCCCATTGTCACACAGCAGTGTCCCTTCTCCATGGACCAGGCGCCTGAAGATGAGTTGGCCAGAGAACCTGCTTGCTGCTGGTGCAGGCAGGGCCAGACGGCGGGGACTGTGAGGGTGGTCAGTGAGCGCAGATTCTGGGGAGAAGGAGGGACCGTGGTGCAGACAAGGGGTGGCAGGAGTGGGCGGCTGGGAGAGGCCAGGTCTCCGCCTGTACCTGGAGCAGCAGGGCAGCGAGGACTGGGACTGCGAGGGGGCGGAGTCTGCAGGCTGAGGAGGGGCTTTGCATCCTGGGCTGCAGGGGACGCAGGGCGGGACGTTTGTCCTGGGTCATTTTGAGGTCATTTCCATGCACGTCTCGCCCGCTGCTGTCAGGCTGCTGTTCCAAAGCCCAGGAAGAAAGATCTAGCGGCCGCTGTCCATGCTGCTCTGTGTGGCCTGGCTTCCCTGGGGCCTAATTCCCCTGGGCTGTAGGAGCACCCAGACCCATCCCTCCCTGGTGGTCAGAGCCCCTTGTTGGTCCCCCACACCCTGAGCACCTGCCTGCTTTGTGTTTCAGACTCTGGCCTGCTGGGATGTGCATTGCCCCCTGCCGCCCTGGGCAGTCCCTCCTCTTACCCTCCTCATCCTCTCTCCTCTGCTGCTCACGGAGTTTATGATGAGCAGAACCAGGGCCGCGTGCCCTGTCTGAAGTGACTGTGTTGCCGGCCTGATCCCAGGCGGGGGCTGGGCGGGGGTTAGTTGCCTATAAACCAGACCAAGAAGGAACCCTGCTGGCACCAGGCATCTGGTTATAGCACACAGGGCAGCTGATGTTTGCCACGAAGCCCTGTGTCATAACCGGGCGACCCCTGCCTCCCTCCCCCCCGGCCTCTTCTTGGTGTGACAGGGTCCCCCACCCTGCAGAAGGCTGCACAGGACTTCCTGGACAGGGGGCCTCCTGGGAAACTCTGCCTGGAATTGCGAGGATGCGCGCTGTGTCCAGGCCCGCCCCCGGTGCTGACTGCTGGCTGCACACCGTGCTGTGGGTGGCGTGCCTGGTGGCAACGTTTCAGGCCTGGGTTACACACAGACAGCGGGAGCGTCGGCAATGTCCCGGACGTCCCGCTGGTCAGGAGCCAGCGCGTCTGTGTGTGGGGTTTTCCTGGACGGCGCTCTGTCCCGGCTGCTCGCGTGAAAGCCGTCCGCAGACGAAGGCAGGCTTTTGATCTGCTCTCCTTTCTTCCCCCTGTCTCCTTCTGCTCCAGCTTAGCCCGGGAATAATTGTGTGTGCGCCACAGGAATGCTAAGTGGCAGCTTCAGGAGGCACCGTTTATCCATCCTGACAGGTCTTTTGCAAAGTCATTTAGCAGTTTTGCCAAGTCAGCCACTGTGGGTCTCAATTTGCAGCCCTCCACGGCCTGGGGCTCTGCTCTGCGGAGCCTCCCTGTCTCCTGTCCTGCCAGTGAGAGCAGAGGCCGCCCTGGCGTCCGTGCTGGGCTCAGCTGCAGCCCCGTGGGTCACAGGCTCTGTGTCCCCCAAACCATCCTGTGGCTGGGGTGGCCCCTCACTGCCTCTGCACAGCCTGGGGTCACTTGGTTGTCGTCAGCTTGATGGGTGACCGAGACAACTGGACATGGGGCGGGCACTGGGCACTGGGTGAGATGCTCCCTGGGGAGCCGGCATCCCGAATGGGAGTGCTGGTGTGAGGCCCGATCCCAGCACACGCCGGGAGGCAGCAGGAGACGGCACAGGTGCTCGGCCTCTGCCACTTACCTCGGAGACCCAGACTGAGTTCTGCTCCTGACTTCTGTCTGCCCAGCCCCATTTGGGGACTGAACTGGTGGGTGGGAGACCTTTCTGTGTCTCTGTCTGTGCCTTTCAAATAAAGTAAAAAGAAACAAAGGAAAATTTAAAACATAGATATATATAGAATCAACACCTTCCATAGACCTTAAAAAACAATTATATTTTAATAATAAAAAAAGAGGGGCTGGCACCATGCTCACTTGGTTAATCCTGCAGGGCCGGTACCTCGGGTTCTAGTCCCGGTTGCCCCTCTTCCAGTCCAGCTCTCTGCTGTGGCCCGGGAAGGCAGTGGAGGATGGCCCAAATGCTTGGGCCCTGCACCCACATGGGAGACCAGGAGGAAGCACCTGGCTCCTGGCTTCAGATCAACGTAGTTCTAGCCGTGGTGGCCATTTGAGGGTGAACCAACGGAAGGAAGACCTTTCTCTCTGTCTCTCTCTCTCTCACTTTCTCACTCTATCTGTCAAATAAATAATAATAAAAAATACATTATAAAAATAATAAAAAAGATTTCTTTTTCATTTTTAAACATGTGATTTTATTCCTCTAAATAAGAAAATATAATTGGAAAAACACTAAAAGCAGCCATGCCTGTATTTGATCATCAGGACGATCGTTGTCAGTGTTTGTTGAAATAGCCCACATTAGTTCCCTGTGATTAAGTAGATGTGTACTGTTCTGAACAGTTTTCCTGCTGTGTTTATAAATCCTTGTTTTTGTATAATTTTTTTGTAATTTTTAAGTACAAATGAGAGCTGTTTGAATTTAGAATTTGATATTTTCTGATTTTGAACAGAATTCTTTATCATGTATTCTTTTCTTATACATTTCCTGATATTTTTAGCCACTATTTTGTTAATCATCATTTGAAAAATCTTTACTTAAAGTTAATTTAAATCATACATTAAAAGTAGTCGGCTTAGGTTTGTCGCACACATTGCAGGTAGTTTTCCTGCATGGTCACGGCCATTGGCTTTCACATTTCTTATGAGTGGTTTGGCGTTGACGGCTCCTGATCTAACAGACGTGGCCTCCAGCTTTTCCCGTTCCTTTACCTTTGACAAGCTTGTCTAGCAGCCTAATACCAAAGAATTCATGTCCAGTATGAACCTGAAATAATTTTCTGTTACCGAGTTCAGATAGGTATATTTATGATGAGTATATTTACATAGTATAACTTCTTTTACGTTTTTAGCATTGAATCATTTTGTATTTTAAATAATCTACCCTCTTATTGATTAGCAATAGCAGTGTATTATATATCAGAGGGATCTTTTTGCTTTTTTAAGAACTGTGACCTCCACTTTTCTTTTAAGATTTATTTATTTATTTAAAAGAATTGCAGAGAGGGAGAGAGAGAGACAGAAAGAGAGAGATCAGTCATCCATCCACTGGTTCATGCCCCAAATGGCCATGACTGCCAGGGCTGGGCCAGGCTGAAGACAGGAGCCTGGGATTCCCCTGGGTTCCCCACACGGGGGGCAGAGGCCCACGTACCTGAGTCAGCCATGCTGCTCTCCGGGCACAGTGGCAGGGAACTGGGTCAGACACGGAGCTGCTGGGACTGCCACCAGCTCCCACCTAGGAAGCCAGCACTGCAGGTGCCCGCTGTACCCACTGCACCACCCTGCCAGTCCCCCTGAGGGAGCTTCTAGGAGCTCCGGGGAAGTGGGCATCAGTGAAATGTCATGCATTTCTGATTTTTTAATTCCATTGTTTCGCACACTTTGTGAAGTCCCCTCGTGCACATATGTACTTGGGCATATTTTGGTTTTACATGCTGTTCCTTCTGTCTACCTGCCAGGAACACACGCACATATAACTAAAAATTCATCCATTTGAAGGGTGGGGACAGAGGGGAGAGAGGAAGTAGGGAGAGGGGAGGGAGGGAGAGGGAGAGAGA